TCGCGGTGCTGTGACTTATGCAGCCGACAAATTCGACCTTCGGAGGACCCGTCCTGCCATTTTGGACACAGCCTAAAACAACCGCTAACTCTGCTAACGCTGCTAACACTGCTAACTCTTCCGTAAAAGACAAACTTGCAGTTGCCGCCAGTGTTTGAGCTCCACTTCAAACTGCCGAACCACACGATCCATCCATGCTCAATAAAAAATTTTAAATGCCATCTTCAGCAGCATTAACGGTGCTAGCAGCATTAGTAGCATTAGTAGTTGCTGTTGTCACAGGATGATGACATCTAACACTTCTAACACTGCTGAAATGGTACTTGTGGTCTTACAATTTGAAGTGAAGCTTGGACTCTGGCTGCAACTAAAAGTTTAATTTNGAATGAGTCAAAGCAAGGCTTTGGGCATGTTTTTTTTATGAGAGTATAACATTATAACATGATATAAAACTCAAAAAAGTTGATTTTACATGATATTGCCCCTTTAAAAATGGACTGTGATTCTGCAGGACGCTGGTCCGGTCCRGTCTGGTGAGTCTGGAGCTGAGGGGAAAGTGGCCTCCATGCGATCTAAGCTAACAGGAAGTGATTTGCTCTCACCTTGCTGTGGTAGGCGTTGCTGTTCTTGGCCACGGCGCACTGACGGTCCACCAGGAAGCAGTACCTCCTCCTCTCCTCGGACAGAGCGTTCTTGTAGCCCTCGGCGATGTAGCTGTCCAGCTCGCCCTGCTTGTTGCTGATTGCCTCCACGTACTGCGGAGAGAGGACACGAACACGGCGTCAGCTTTCTCACGTGCTCTGAAACTGAAACGTTGCAGAATTCAAAGCTGAAACATTACAAGATAGTTAATAAAAATACGATTTGGATTTTGACACTTTTGGTTGGTACGTCAGAGAAGCCAACATCTTCCCCCCTAAACAAGAACGGCTCGTCCACATCTGACATCACCTCCGAGCACACAAAGGTAAAAGCAGGACCTTCCTTCACTTATATAAGTGAGAGCGTTTGAAGGATCTCATGGTGTCAGATAAAGTGAAGCAGCATCCTCGAAGTGTCAGACAGAGTGAGGTGTTCTCGGCCGCGCCTCACTCGTTCACAGAGACAGTCAGCAGCCCACGCAGCGTCATGCATGTCTGGCTGCTCCGACTAACRGCTGAAGGAGGCCAGGATGGGAAAAAAATAAATAAAAATAAAATAAAATAAATAAATAAATAACTGATGGAGGCAGGAGAAGAAGCTATAGAGGGACTCAAGTCATTGACGAGGCACCAGAATCGTCTTCGTCACACTTGCAGCAACACCAGAGGTGCTAATTACAGAATAATAAAAGCTAATTCAAACACTCATTAGAAAACATCTCCGCCTCATTTCCATTTTTATCCAAACACAAGAGTCTGAGCGACTGTCTAATTATATTACAGCACATTTTTACACATTAGGAGGAGGAGATGAAAGAACAGGTGCTTGATTCTAAAAACTAAATAAATAAATTATCCTGATGTTTGTGATCTCATGACACGAGTCTCAGTATGGAAACTTTAGATCTCTAGTTTTAAATGTTTAGTCTAAAACATAAATGTTATAAGCACATTTTCATTATTTAGCTCACTCTCTGGGTGTTAAATCCTATTGAAAACTTTTCCACCAACATTTTGTTGTCACTGTTCTTACATTTATCCGTTTTTGCTAAATGTTCAATTTAAATGTTAGACAATGTAATATTCAATCACAAATCTTWATGTATAAATCTTAAATGTAAAAGTTAAATCTTAAATTTCATAGTTAAACATTAAAGTTTAGATTTAAATTTTTCAGAATGGAACACAGCCTTAGATGCTTGTGCTTAGCTCTTGTGACGCCATCATCCTGAGACTAATGCTGTGTCAAAAACGGCAGGACGGGTCCTTCGGAGGACCCAGACTCCCCGGTCTCGGYGGGCCGGGTCCTTGGTAGACCGGGAAGACCGGAAAAAAAGAGGCTGTGGATTTGGAAGGTCTAGCCTCCCCTC